TTCCCTACAGAGGCTTAATCTGAGCCCACCCACCCCCATCGCCCGGGCTCTGGCCTCTAGCCAGCGCAGAGAGATCTGCTTTCTTGTTTAAAGCAACCTGCAACTCGCTTTAATGTTTGGTCTTTACTTGAAGACGCAGAAACTTAAAACCTATTGAATAAAACCAAAAAAGGAGTTAAGCAGGAAGCTGAAAGGGGTGAGGCGAGGGTCGTTCCGCGGGTGAGGCTAGCCGGGGATGGTCCCGGGCGCTCGGCACCCCGCAGGTCTGGGTGCAGCGAGTAGGGGCGGTCCCGGGACCTTAGGCTCCACGGGCTGGAGAGGGCAGGGATGGAGGAGACCCGGGTGGTAGGACCCCGGGGGCGACCAGAAGAGAGGCACGGGCTTCGGGTAGGGGGTGCGTCTGGCCCCGCCGCATTCCTGAGGATCAGGTTACTGGCGAAGACAGCAGCCCTTCCCTCCCTTCCTGCCCTTGCCTGGAGCCTGATGGGCAGCCACCTCCCCAGTCCAGGGCAGGTGTCTCTCTGGCCGCAGGGAGGGGACCCAGGCCCTGCCCTCTGGGCTGGCACTGTATCTCTGTCTTTCACAAGGCCATTTTGTAATTCACACGTCAACCCTCGGCCCCAAGGATGGGGCCAGACTGATACCTGGCAGAACCGGCTGTATGACTGGTGGCCCTGCTGACCGCTCCCCGAGGCTGTGGTGTATCCTCAGCCTCCTGCAGGCCTGGGAGAGTCGTTCAGTCCAGTCAGTTTGTTGATTGACTGGCCTACCGTGCAAGGGCTCCTGCGAAGAGAAAACATCTCACACCAGCCACTTCCACCCCCCAGGACAGGCTCACCCAGTGTACATGTAATGTGTTCTTGCTGTATTCCCAGGCCCAGATGAGGCCCTTTCACGGGTGGATGTTGGGGGAACCAGAGGGTTTGGGGAGCAGAGAGTTGGTGAATTCATTTTCATTAGACCAGCTTCAGAAGTTGACTTGTTGCCGTAACCGGTTTGGCTCGGTGGATAGAGCATCGGCCTGTGGACTGAAAGGTCCCCGGTTCGATTCCGGTCAAGGGCTTGTGCCTTGCTTGCGGGCACATCGGTGGGAGGTGTGCAGGAGGCAGCTGATCGATGTTTCTAGCTCTCTATCTCTCTCCCTTCCTCTCTGTAGTTGGAAGAAGTTGACTTGTTTTTCTTTGTTTCCCTTTGGGCTAACCTCAAGACCCAGCATCCATCCATTCCACCACCCTCATTGAGCACCTACTGTGAGCACCTGTGTGTTGGGCATGGGTTTTTGGCCCTCCCATCACCTGAGCTGTTATCGACAGAAAACAACATAAGAAGCACATAAACACTCGCTATTTTTCCTTTATTTTGATCCCCTTTTCTGTTTTTACTTCCGTGAGTATATTTCAAAAGGGAACCTTCGTGTCACCGAGAATGGAAAACCAGTTTCCCTCACCATAAATAGAAGGAAACCCAAAAAACGATTAAATGAGAGCAAAACAGGCATTCCCCACCAGCTCAGGGACTCTGGGCCAGGCCTAGGTCAGGAATGTCCAAATGTCCAGAGAGCAGTGAAGGCAGGGAAGCCCCAAACCAAACCAAGAAAACTTCAGGAGGGACCACGGACCCGCTGGTGGTTTCTGTCCCAGAGGCCCCAGCACACAGCTGACGCTCCCTGTGTCCGGTCTCAGCTCAGGAGCAAGAGCACTTACTATGCTGGAGGTTTGCCTGCACAGCCAGCACCGCCCGAGGCCGCTTTCAGGGGCAGATGGAGGTAGTTGGTGGCAGGCAGCGAAGCTGCAGGGCCGCCAAAGGGGAGGCTTCAGGTTAGTTCAGCGAAGTAGAAGCTCCCACTTCCTCCTCAGAACCTTGGGGCTGTCCCCGCCCACGCTCCAGTGGGCCCCCGATGAACCCTGACGTCCTTCTATCAGGAGCTGCGGGCCCCTGATGGCCTTCCCTGGCTCTCTGGGGGTTGGGGAGGGGTTGCGTGAATCAATGAATATGAATAATGAAGTGAACGAGTGGATGGAGTCATGGATGAGTTAGTGAAGTAATGAATGGATGAGGCAGTTAACGAGCGGCCGCAGCAATGCTGCCAAGATTGCAAACCCACTCCCGACACTTCTCCTTAAAACCCCACAGCAGCCCCTCAAGGAGGGACACCTGCCCCCATTTTCCGGATGGGCACATCGAGGCTCTGAGCAAAGCTTGGCTCCCGTTTTGGGAAGGCAGCCTGGAACCCAGGCACATCTCCCCGGGAGAATGGGGGGCCGGGAACCCGGGACCTGGCCTGGCCAGAGCTGCAGCGGGACCGGGCCTCAGGGTAAGGGCCCGGCCTCAGGGTAAGGGCCCGGCCCCGGGAGGGAGGAGGTGGGGAAGGGGCGCGGCAGG